GACCAAGCAGGGCAAGTCCTAGACAAAAGGAGAAGTACTCCCTCTCTGCTGCTTTCAGACTCAGATCCCACTCTGAGTGGGGTTCCTATTTCCAAGTCTGGAAATGCTAAATCGACAAGCCAACAGCATAAGTTACCACTGACCTCTTGCCTGACTCATTCCTAGCCCTTCAAGCCAGAGACAGAAGTGAGACCAAGACCTCCAACTGCCTTGCTTCATTTTAGTTTCAAAACAGTGCTAGGAGGTAGCTATCCTTAAGGTGAGGAAACAGAAGCCTGACATGCCCAAAGCCACTCTATGAGAGAAGGGCAGCATCAGACAGTGACCCTGGATCTTTTGCCTCCTAATACAGAGGAGAGGGTCATGGTCAAGAGGGTGAGTTTAAAAGTCTGATAAACATGGATTCAAATTCCTGCTCTGCCAATGACTAGCTCTATAATCTTGGTGAAATCAAGTTAACAAGACTGTTGTAAGGATCACATGATATTTTTAAAATGCTTATCCCAGTGTCTGACATATAGTAAAGACTCAGCAAATGAGAGAAATTATTTCTATTTTGAAAGAAAGGCATATCACTGAGAGTGTATTGGATATAAAAAGCAAAAATGAAAAGGAGTCAATACCCTTTCAGGCTAATATTCCATGAGTCTATAAAATACGCTCCTAATGTGAAAAGAACAAGGCCAGAAGAAAAGGAATACATCTGTCAACCAAAAAAAAAATTTTTTCTTTTAATGGAGTTAACTGGTGACTAAATATAAAAAGATGAACAATAAGAGTGATTGGGTAAGATAAATGGATCACAGCATCAAGGAATGGAGATAAAAATAGCTCCATGAGACTTAACTCAAGCTGAAAGATACTTGAGGATCATTTCAAGGTTAACAACCAAAAAAAAAAACACCAATTGCTATGGAGGCAAAAAGCAAGCCTGACTTTTCAAGTGAGAATCTAGCACATTACAAAATAGAATTCAATTCTTTCTGCATTTCAGCCACCCATGAGAAAGAAGGCTTGCAGCAAAGAAAACAAAACTATACCTTTCCCAGGAGTACAAGAGTTTAAACTTGAAGGCCAGTTTATAGAATACTTTATTAATGCGCTTTCCTACAATAATAGGAATGAGTTATTTTTTTTAAGGTAAAAAGTTTAAAAAAAAAAAAAAGGAAGAAGAAGAAGAAAGGAGAAAAAGTGATAAATTATATCCAGTTAAACTCCCCAAAGGTCAAATTCAGTTGCACAGTGAGAATCATAAAAAAACGGGGACTCATAATGACACATATTGCATGGAATTAACCAGAATTAACTAAAGAAATGGGGGAGGGGGAGAGGATTTTTCAGGAGGAAGTTTTTTTTTTTAATATCAATTTGCTCTATGACTCCAAACAAAATAGTTCTCATGGGCCTGCTGAGTCTTAAATCCTACTGGTATTTTAAACAAACTTAGGGTGGCTTCTTTTCAGTCTCCTCTATCCTAAATAATACACAAACTGCAAAGGGCTTTCTCTCCTACCCTTTGCACCACCCCTCCCAGACAGCTAGATTTAGGAAGGGTTCCTTCCACCTCTGGAGGGATAGAATTGGGAATGATCCCTGGTGATTTACTAGGCTCAAGAATGTGGACCCGGAGTGGAGTATAGCTACCTGACCTCCAGGCTCAGGTTTGCAAGAGGAATTCTTCCAGCACCCAAATGGGAGCGTTAAGGGGTAAGTGTTCTTCACAAAAGACCTGGGAAAAATTCTCTGGACTCAAAAATGTTAAAATAGAAAACAATCACCATGGAGCCTCTGACAAAAAGTTCTACAAAACATCAGAAGAGGAGCATTGATTTATTGACAGAAGAGTTTCATGATTTTAGTGAGGTTCAAGGGGATAGAACCTTTACAAAACAAAAGCAGGCTATGAAAGAGAACAAGCCAATGTAGGAAATTGGAGGGAAATAGAAACCACTGCTCTTAAAATTCCTGTTAAAGGCAGTAAGTAGTAGACTTGACAGAGCAAGAAGCTAAGTAAGATATTTCAACCTGAGAAATATGCCGAGAACATGAAAAATACATGTAAGTTGTTAAAATACTAAAATACTGGGGCACCTGGGTGGCTCAGTTTGTTAAGCGTTCGACTCTTGATTTTGGCTCAGGTCATGATCTCAGGGTTGTGAGATCGAGCCCGCACTGGGCTCTGTGCTGGGTGTCAAGCCTGCTTAAAGATTCTCTTTCCCTCTCCCTCTGCTCCCCACCCCCACTGCACGCTTGCTCTTTCTCTCAAAAAACAAAACAAAAACTAAAATACTTCCATATTGGTTGGTACAATGCCCCCTCCCCCATCCCACTCCCACCCTCCCCCAAGGCAGCCAGGCCCTTAACTGGACTTCATAAGATCCAGCAATTAAGGGTAACTCTTGGTATAGCGGAGAGCATCCAAAACTCTCCTTCAGTACAAAGACCAGTGTTAATTTTAACTGTCTTGTGCAAGGTTGGATGACAAACCAATTGTTAAATATTTTGAAAATAAAATATAATCCCTTGGCTCTAACTCAAGAATAATAGGTATTACTAGTCAACAGAGAGAACAGAGCACAAATGGTAACCGAAATTATAACTGAAAGAAGTTTCCTGGATTTAAAGACCAGTTGGCAATCACAGCATGATTTCACTGCAGATGAAATTAGTTTTACGACAGTTTTATATAAAATGTTTCAAAACTTTGATAAGGAAACTTATCAAATTCATTTTAAGAGGCTAAAAATGGATGAGATATTAATAGTCAAATCTCACTTAGGAACATATGTGCAAAAATTCTCAGAGCAACTTATTTTATGAGGCTCTCTCCCTTTCACTAATAAAAAATTAGACAGTAAATAATATATCCTTACTGAACTATAGGCTTTGTAGGTGAGAACAATAATTAAGAGTTATGTATGAATCCTAATAATGTTTCTGGAGAGAATAAAACAGAAAAACTCAGGCAATTCAAATTGAGAAAAACAGGACAAAAATATACAAAGTTTGAAAAGACAAAGAGAGAACACCATGCATATCATAATGTTAATCAAGCCAAATTCTCTATTAAGAGAATAATAATTTTCCAGATCATTTCCAGAAAAAATGATCAAAATCAGCTCAGCAAATCCAACAAAAAGTTAAATCAATCACCAAGTTAGGAAGAGACTGAAAAGTTTACCAAAGTATTACTCCCTCAAAAAGTTCAGAGTCTAGAAGATTCTATTCTGTATCTATCTGAATTTTCAATGATGAGACGATTCCAGGCAATAAACACTTCTTCCACAATACTACTACTCTACTACTCCCACCAGCGAATACTTCAGCCACTGATGCATTGAATCCTCATGATAAGCCAATGATGTGGCTACCTACTACTACAGTAATCTTACACAGGAGGAAACTGAAGCCCAGGGCGAGCTGCACAGCTAGTAAGTGGTGGAGCCCTGAGAGGAATGAAGGCTGTGATCCTAACCACCATTCACAAAGAAAGACTGAGACCTTTGTCTAAGAGTCCAATATACCTTGGTGACAGAACCCTCATAAAACACATGTTTTTCTTCCTTTCTAAATGGCCAGAAACATATTAAAATAATCAAATGCTTGCATAGCACTTACTATGTGCCAGGCACTGTTTGAAGCAAGTGACAGAAGCACTTCATCGCCATGGCAACCCTGGGAGGGAGTTACCATCATTATGCTTCTGGGTAGATAAGGAACCAGAAGCATGGAGAGGTGTGTTCAGTGCCATGTCCAAAATCACACAGCGAGCAGGTGGCAGAGACGGCATTCAAACCCTGGCCATCTGTAGGGTTTGTACGTGGTGTTATATTAAACATAACAGAACATGCTGAAGACAGCAGAGAATGTAACCTTTAAAATAATCACAAATTACTGCTTTCTAAAAAATCAGATATGGAAATCAAAGCCTCCCTTATGGAACAGGTCATTGCAGGCAAACAGTCATTAGGTGCTGTTCTCAAATCTTATAGAATAATCTAAAGCAAGAAATACACACAAAAAAGCAAAGTCTCCAGGGACTATCATTAAAATCCCAATCAGGCTAACCTTTTCTTATAAAAAAATAATAATTATGTGTAAGTTATAAATACAATCTATACTATGACTTACAGGCATTACGATTTCATTACTTTGTTAAGCCACTGTAATGTGTTTTTAGCAGAGATGGAAGACAAATTACTTTCTCAAGTACAACTTAAGACGTTTGTTCAAATGATTTTCTTTTCATTCTGTGGTATTAGACTAAGACCCTATTAATTCCATTTGGATTTCAGTACACATTCTGAGGTGAGTTTTAAACATATGAAGCAAATGACATCAACAATACCAAAGAAAATATATCACAAGAACCAAAGAGAATGCTGCCCAAACTTTATATATAATATTGCACAGATATGTGAAAAAGACTGTAAATATAGGTCACAAATGAATCCATATCATTATGAATTACATACTACAGTTGACCCTTGAACAATGCAGGGGTTAAGGGCACCAACCTCTGTACAGTCGAAAATCTGTGTAGAATTTTTTTTTTGAAAATCTGTATAACTTTTGATTCCCCCAAATATAACTACTAATAGCCTATTGTTGACCAGAAGCCTTAAGCAATAACCTAACTAGTTAACACCATTTTGTATTTTGTATGTATCAAATACTGTATTCTTACAATAAAGTGAGCTAGAGAAAAGAAAATGCTATTAAGAAAATCATAAAGAAGAGGAAATACATTTATAGGACTGTACTGTATTTATTGAAAAAAAATCTGTGTATGAATGGACCCACACAGTTCAAATCCACGTTGCTCAAGGTCAACTGTATATTTATCCTGAACAATAAACTTCTATAGCCTGCGGTAACAGAATAAACCAACTAAACAAAGTTTATCTTTAATATAGAAGTGGCTGCTATATTCTAGTCAAGTTCTGACTGTTGAGTATTAATAATAATATCCATCAATAAGATGAGATTATTATGGCTACCTCTGGCTTCATGCGACGTCCTCATTTCACTTTCTGTTCTCTCTTCAAAGTCCTCTTTGACATCATCAGCATGCTGGTCTCTGAGAAAAACAGATGTATCAATGTTTTGTAATGCACTTTAAAGGATGGTTCAGCACTGCATCTCAGCAACTGTTATAGGCAAGTGATAAATCACTGAATTCTACTCCTGAAACTAATACTACACTGTATGTTAACTACCTAGAATTTAAATAAAAACTTGAAACATTAAAAAGCAACAAGAAAACAAAACACAACAAAATAAAAACACATGATACCACTAAAATGTTAGAAAGGATTTTCAGTTCTACTAAGAAGCAACGCCTAGTAATAACATCTATAAACATCCATTTTCTTCATTACCAATTTTCATTTAGAGTTCAGAAAGGAGATTTTTTAAAGCTAAGAATGGTATTAAGGTGAACTATTCTGGCAAACGCACCCACTGAATAACTCAACTTCAAACTGGGACAGGTATTCATGAAGAATTTTACTTGGTACTATACAGTAAAACTACAATTTAAGGAAAGAAAATATTTTGAAACTCCAGACCGTTTAATCAAGTAGCATATACACTACACTCAGCTCTGGGATTTGGGCTTGAGCCTGAGATTGGCCCAGGAGAATCAAACTCAATTCTAGGAAGCTTTTCCTGGCTTAATCAGGTCAAATGTGTAGGCTGAACTGATTCCAACTCTTTTTGACCAGGAATGATCCAAGGCTAATCTAAGCATGCCGAAATGCTCTAAAATGCAATGGAATCCATTACGATCTTAATTCAGAGCTTTACCCTTAAGTCAGGGACAAAAACAGCATTAAAGGGAACCAAGAACAGACTAATTATATTTTCTTTAAAGCTAAATTTCAAGTCTTTAAAATTTTTCAACCTAAGTTTTCCATTCCCAGAGTTCAAAATACATCCCACTCTCCAATTTCCTGGTACTATCGAGGCTATGATCCCTGGCTTACACACTTCAATGCCTTATAATACTCTGCATTTATGATGTCCTACTGTTTCTTATGTGTTGTTACCTATATATAAATATATCCCGAGTTTCTAAAAGATCCAGATCATACTTCTACTGTTAAGTTTTAAGAAAAAAAGCAAACACATTTGAAACCACACACCCCAACAAAATATAAAGCAGCTGTATAGTCTTAATTACAAAGGCACGAATTTATTCTCCATTTGAATGATGATAATTTAACACAACAATTCAAACACGGTAAGTATGCCATAAATACATGTTCACTACTTCTTAGATCATTTCCACAAACACATGTGAAATTTCATTGAGATCTGTGCTCCCTGGCTAATAAGTTCATACTAAAAACAACTTATCCCAAATGCTGAAGAAAACTTGCTTATTTGAGAATGGAGATGAATCACGGTTAATACAAAATAAAAACACATCTTCTTCCAAGAGTAATCAAATGATTATTGGAGGCTCTTATTCCATAAAATGTGGAGAGATGGAAATATGGGAAAAAATAAGAAAATCACTGATAATTGGAGAAGGACATTAGTTGAAAACTGTCTTCTCTGTAAAAAGTGTGCTAAAGTTATACTTGGTAATTACAACATGCTAAAATCAGCCTCATATGTTAAAATTAGCTTATGTGATCTTCTGGACTTGTTTAATATTAAATTAGAATATTCTTTGAGTCTACAAATCTATCCCAGTAAGTACTGTGACCACTGAAAAAAGTTGTTTGTGCATGACTATCTTAATATTTATTAGAAAAAAAGTCACATATTACAGTGATAACTTGAAATTGGCATTTTTCAGAGTTAAAATAAATTCCTAATTAGTCATCATAGATTTCCCAAAAGCTTTAATGAGTGGTTAAAAGGAAAAAAAAAGACAAACTGAGATCAAAGGCTAAAATTAAGTCTTATAATTTTTCAAATATTTCTGTTTTCATGATCAGAATTGTCCACTGATAAGTTTTACATTTTTTGTGGTTTTAATAAAGCACAGCATTCCTTTAAAGTTAAGTTTTATTAAAAAAAAGGTATAAGACTTAAGTATGAGCAAAGTTCTATTGTATTCTTATGCCCAAATACAATGCCAATGGTTTATCTTATGAATGTAAGAAAAGGACCATTTGCTAGGAGAGAATGGAGACAGAAAAGGAAAATAAGACCTCTGACCCAAAAAGTTTCTTCAGGCCTGAATCTGCTGTAATCCATCCCCAGAGAAGCAAAATGGAAGCCATCTATTCTTATATTATTTATATAGCTTCATTATAGAAGCATGTTCAGTTTCCATTTTCCCTACTGCAACTCGTGATATTTCATTAAGCTGAACCCATATAAACTTGGGAATATAAACATGAGTATTTATCCTTACCAAACACAATTCAAATAAAGGACTCTGGAAGAAATGTTTACTGAATGTTTTATTTCCAATTAATATACTGATTCTGCTAATTCCTTAAAATTAAAAGCGACTAAGCCCCTAGGGGGTTCTACATGATATTTCATTTACTAGAAAGTTGGAGGGGTGGGGCAGTGGGGTCACCTGAGCAGTCTATTAGAACAAGCATTATCAAATAGATGGATGAACAGAACCACTGAAGTGAGCAGAATCCTAATTTAAGCACATCTAGAAATGTGGGAGCAGTTAATAATAAGAAAAGTTACAAGAACATACTATGCACCAAAGGCTGGCTGAGATCTTTATATGTCCAATATTTCGTAACAATTGCTAGAAGAAGGTTCTGTTCTTAAAGCCACTGAAACTTAAAGAGCTTAATGCCAAATTTGTAGACAAGTACAGCACCAAGTCTACTGACACCAAAATCCATAATTAGATTCAAGTATTACTTGGTTTTTACCTTTGCATTTCTCCAGAATACAGTATACCCGTCTTCTAGTGACAAGGTCAGTCATGAAGAATCTGACTCATTCTTGTTTGCTTTGTATTTTATTTAAAATAAAAATTGGTTTCTCAGGGTACCTGGGTGGCTCAGTTGGTTAAGCGTCTGCCTTCGGCTTGGATCATGATCCCAGGATCCTGGGATCGAGCCCCGCATCGTGCTCCTTGCTCGGTAGGGAGTCTGCTTCTCCCTCTCCCTCTGCCACTCCCCTGCTTGTGCTCTCCCTCTCTCTCTCAAATAAATAAAGTCCTTAAAAAAACTGGTTTCTCAGTTGGGCAACCAATATTTCTCTCTCCTACAAGGTGAGGAGTTTCATTGCTAATTCTGACTCAAGAGGTGCCATGATGGGTCTCTTTCTCTGTGCAAAAATGAAATCCTTAATCTAGGATTTCAACTTCCTAAGCACAAAGTTATTCTAGTTGCACAGGTCTTCCAATTACAGACAAAACACGTTTATATCAGAATGCCCCAACTCTGTGATAACTTTATAATTAATCTCTCTGGAACACGGTACCAGATACGCTTCTTAACAGATTCTCTTTAAAAAAAGACAACCAAACATATTTTGATGTATTTTAATAGTACATTTTTGCTCAACAAAAAATATCTCTGTTTTCTTCTCTTGATCAACACTTTCCATTAGCAACAATTTCATTTAGCTCCAAAGGAGATACAAGCTGATTGGGCAGGGGGCTAGGGAATCAGAACATGGAGTGGTTACATGGATGGTCTCTGGAAGTGAACAGACCTCCTTCCAATATCAGTTCTGCTACTTAATTCTAAATGATCTTCAGCAAGTTACTTAACTTTCCTACTTCCCAGCTGCATCATCTGTAAAACGAGGGTAATAAATCCCTTTCCTCACAGGCATTTTGAGGACTCAATAAAATAATGAATACAAAATGCTGCCCACAGCCAGACATAGAAGCAGAAGCATGATAAATGGCAGCTTCTACTATTTAAGAATTACTTCTATTTGGGGATAAAATCATCCACTGTCACCTGTTTTCTTCAAGTTTTAAAATAGTTTTTAGAGTAAAAGTTACGAGCCAGACTGCAGCCAGACGGCCTGGGCTGTAATCCGGGTCTGCTATTGACTAGTTGTGTAATCTGTAACCACGAGAGGTTCTACATTTTTGAATGGGGATGTGAGAACAGCACCCACCCCACATAAGGCACTGTGAAGATTAAGTGAGCTAATGTAGGTAAAAACACCTAGAAAAGTACCTGGAATACAGAGATTTCCCTTGAGATCTTAGAATTTTCAAGAACCAATTTATTTCAACATTTCTTTAGCTTGAATTGAAATATAACCATAGCTAAAACTTTACTGAAGAATACTCTTTAGGTTTTTAATTAAGACAGTGGAATCCACTCAAGTGCAAAAATGTATTCTTTATGAGTCAGCAACCTCTTTTTCTCTGTAATTACATATCATGCTTTAAATGTCTATCTTACTCTAAATATGCTTTGTAGTAATTATTAGCAAAACAAACATCAGAAGGGTAAATACATAGTAACAGGATGTATTTGAATGCAAATAGCTATATTTCTTCAAGTTTGTTTTTTTTCCATTTAAAAACAATCCCTAGCCAATTATGCTTCCATCAGTCCCCAGTATGTTAAAAACAATATTGAAAAAAATGTGAAACAATTATTTTGCTTCAATTCAGAGATTTCAGCTATCCCTCGAAATCCAGCATGAGTTTGATTTGGCTCCTAGCTTGAAATAACCCCACCTTCTCTCTCCAGCAGCGCTTATTCTAGTCTCACAGGGGTTTTGTTAGAGCTGAAAAGTACCTGTACTCCCTAGTAACCAGAGGCGACACAATGAATGTAGCTGGGGCCGTAAAATAATGTAGGAATTTCTGTTTTGAACATGAAAAGGAGGTCTTTTTTGCATGCCCCCAGCAACTTTTTTTCCCCTAATTTCTGGGCTGAGGTCACTCACAGGAAAAAAAATCCAAGAAAGAGAATCTCAGGGTTTATACTTCAGAGGAATTATAAAAGATTACTTGAACTGTCTCCAAATGCCTCCTACAAATGAAGAGGAGAGTGTGCATCCACAGCCTCAGTACAAGAAGGTCACCATCTTCAAAAGGACTCAGAAAAGATGGCAAATAAAACCAGTCGGATTAAAACTTTTATGTCTATGGTTAACATCTGAATAGTCTTTAAA